ACGATTCATTCTAGACCGTCCGATCGCATTTGAATTTGGTCGTTCGATCGCATTTGGGAGGGAGCACATCAGGTCGTCTGTGCCGACGGGAATGGACTCAGCCGTTCGATCGCTGGAACGTAGATCGCCCACGTGGCCCCTCCATATGCCCTTCCGCGTCAGTATCTCTGCCACTTGGCACGTCCTGGTTGGTCAGGGTTGCTTACCCGACGTCTTACGTGGCGAAACTTTCTAAAATTATATTTTGACCCCTGTTTTTTGATTTTTATTTCAAAAATATTCCTAAAATTCAAATTTTCACTTATTTTTCCTAAAATTATTTTCAATAAATCCTCCATCAATTTTATTTTTTTACTCTAAATTAAATAAAATAAAATACAATAAAATAAAATAAATTGATAAAATTTATATTTATTAATTATTTAATTACAACAAAAAAAATTTGTGGGTGTTACAATTCTCTCCCTTAAAAGAAATTTGGTTTCTCAAATTTGTCTCTCACTCTCAATCGAACAGCTGGGAATATTGGACTCTAAAGTCTAATTATAGCTCCCATGTAGCCTCTCTCGGTGTGTGGTCTACCATATGACCTTTACAAAGGGAATTTTTCAGTTGCGGAGTAATCTGCTCTTTCAATCCACAATGCTGATCGGCACTTCCTCGTAAGACAGATCCTCCTAGAGTGGAAGAGGCTCGTGAGCCAAGACATGAGAGGGGTTCAGGTTGTACTTGCGTAGCATGGATACATGAAACACATTATGGACCTTGGAAAGTTCTGGAGGCAGTGCTAGTCTATAGGCGGCAGTACCAATTCTGTCTAAGAATTCAAATGGTCCAATAAATCGGGGTTTCAGTTTCCCCTCCTGCCAAACTTACTGATTCCCTTGAAATGAGTGACTTTAAGGAACACCCGATTGACTTTCTCAAATTCTAAATCTCTCCTCCAGGTGTCTGCATAATTCTTCTGCTTACTCTGAGCTGTCTGAATATTTTTCCTGATCTTAACTATTTTGAATGTAGTCTCCTCTACTAGATCTGGGCCGAACAATTTTCTATCGTCCACTTCTTCCTAATAAATCAGTGATCTGCATGGGCGCCCATATAACGCCTCATACGTAGCCATACCAATACTTGTTTGGTAGCTGTTATTGTAGGCGAACTCTATCAAGGGTAGATGGTCATCCTAATAGCCCCTTGAGTCAATGACACAAGCTCGGAGCATATCCTCAAGTATACGGATTGTCCTTTTTGACTGTCGATCGGTTTGAGGGTAGAATGCAATACTAAGGAACAGTTTCATTCCCATGGCTTACTGAAAGCTATTCTAAAATTGAGAAGTGAACCTGGAGTCTCTATCGGACACTACTGTCACTGGCACTCCATACAATTTGACTATTTTTTGGATATACATTCTTACTAACTTGTTCAAGAGATCGGTCATCCTGATGGCCAAAAAGTGGGACTTGATAAGTCGATCAACAATTACTCAGATGACATCATGTCCTAAGCGTGCCTTAGGTAATCCTGTCATGAAATCTATGGTGAGATGTTTCTACTTCCATTCAGGGATCGGTAATGGCTGAAGTAGCCTGCCTCGGCGTTGATGCTCTACCTTGATCTGCTGACATACTAAACACTTAGAAATAAAGTCAGTTATATCTCTTTTCATCATGTTCTACTAAAATCGGGGTCGCATACTTTGGTACATTTTAGTACTTACGGGATGCATGGAAAACTTTGAGTTATGGGCCTCTGTCATGATGTCCCTCATTAAGTCATTTTCACTTAGAACACACATCCTGTCCTGAA